AGAATTATCTGAAAAAGCATCTGAAGAGCATGGCTTTCTGCAGAAGGCAATAAGGATTTACACAGAGATGTAGCAAAAATAAACTGACAGAGCAAAGTCCTGAGATGCTGAACTTGTTCAGTTGTGGGAGCAAGGCTCAACTATCCAGAGCCCACTGAACATATTAGAGAGGCAGAAACGCAGCACATAAAACATGCTTGATAAGTAAATAACTTTTCCTTTCCATTCTTCTGATCTCAGCTCACTGGTGAAATTTTCTTTCTTTGAGGACGTCCTGAACAACTCTGAATCAATATATATAATATATTCCCAAAGTTGCCAGAACCTAGGAAAACAACAAAGATATTTACCATCTGAGCATTTTACCAAAATGTCTAAAGGAGACCCAAGTCTCCTGTTTATTTACTGTGAGTCTGAAATATTTCCTGATCTTTCTGTGTTCATGCCCTCAAGAGTTAACCACCATCACTACTGAAGAGCCCCAAGAATTCACCCTTCCACCCTCACACCTCTACACGAGCAAGGCTGGAGCCCTCACAGAGGTGTCTACACCTGCAATCATAGACTCCAGCAATGGTGTGATAAGTGATGGTGGGGGTGGAAAAGGACAGCACTAGGGCAAGCCCTGTGTGCCCCCAGGAAGCATGGCCCGTTCTGCCCATGCTGCCACTTTCAACCAGGGCACCCTGACATAGGGCAACTGGCACTGAAACCAAAGATAAACTCAAAGCAGTGCCTGAGAAAAGGCTCTGACTCAAGCAGAATTTCCTACTGAGGGTTTCTCTGCACTTCCCCGCACAACTGCACTTGTCTTTGTTGAGCTGAAAACACTCACTGCCAAATGATGAAATGAGGCCTTGGAGGCTCCATCTCTCATTATCACATTTCAGCCTGAGTGGTCTCCAAACCACAACTCTTCCCAAGGGTTTGAAATACTATTTTATTTATTTTTTTAATTGTAGCTAGCTGGTTAAATATTGGGCCTTTATCTAAATCACGTGCAGAATTATTGTTCTTCAGTTATTGTCTTTTACTTTCTACAGCTATTATAGTGATAACTGCTGGAGGAGAGTTCAGATCGTTCTTGTTATGTGGGGAAACAAAGAAAGACTAAAAAAAGAAAGGCAAGCTCATGCTCTTACTGTCAGATTTCTAAGCTGTATTGGCTTGACATGGCAAGGTTTTGGTAGTGGAGGGACTACTGGGGTGGCTTCTGTTGAGAAGCTGCCAGAAGCTTCCTTCAAGTCCAACAGACCCAGTGCCAACCAGCTCCAAGAGAGACCTGTCACTGGCCAAGACTGAGCCCATCAGCAAAGGTGACAATGCCTCTATGGTAACATATTTAAGAAGGGTGGGGGAAAGTTGCAGTGAAACAGCAACTGCAGCAGGAGAGGAGAGAGAATATGCAAGAGAAAAACTCTGCAGACACCCAGGTCAGTGCAGGAGGAGGGGCAGGAGGTGCCCCTGGCACTGGAGCAGAGATTTCCCTGCAGCCTGGGGTGCAGTCCATGGGGAGGCAGTTGTGTTCCTGCAGCCCATGGAGGTTCATAGGTCAGAGATCCACCTACAGCCTGTGGAGGATTCCCACACCAGAGCAAGGGAATGCCTAAAGGAGGCTGTGACCCTGTGAGAAGGCTGTGCTGGAGCAGCTCCTGGCAGAACTTGTGACCCCATGGAGAGAGGAAACCACACTGGAGCAGGTTTGCTGACAGGACTTGTAACCCCATAGGGGACCAACACTGGAGCAGACTTCCTGAAGGACTGACTGCACCCCATGGTTTCATGCTGGAGCAGGGAACAGTGTGAGGAGTTCTCCCCCTGAGAATAAAGGAGCAGCGGAGACAACATGTGATGAACTGACCACAGTCTCCATTCCACATTGCCCTGTGCTGCTACGAGGGAAGAGGTAGAGAAAATCATGAGTGAAGTTAAGCCCAGGAAGAAAGGAGGGGTTGGGGAAGGTGTTTTAAGATTTAGTTTCAATTTCTCATTATCCTACTTTGATTTCTTTGGTAATGAATTGATAACTTCCCTCCATCCTTATCTTGATCCACAAGCCTTTTGTTACATTTTCTCTCCCTGTCCAGCTGAGGAGAGCAGTGACAGAGCAGCTTTGGTGGGTACCTGGTGTCCAGCCAAGGTCAACCACCACATAAGTAAACATAGAAACTAGTGCACAGAAACTATTTTAGCAGAGAGTACCAACATACTTCTCTACTCTCCTGTCAAAGGCTCAGAAGGAACACTAGTGTGTGTGCTGTGACCCCTTGCCTAACAAAGATCATAAAGGATCAGCCAATTACCTAAAGCTTGGCTCAACTTAAAACATTCTCCAAAGGGACATTTGGTCTTAATTTGAAAACAAAGAAGAATAGGGAATCTGCCACTTCTCTTGCTATTCCGTTCCAGCAGTTAGTCATCCTCATTTGTAGAAAAACTGCCTTTGATTTCCTATTTGAATTGCGTAATTTCAGCCTCCAGAAAAGATCTCTCTTATGTTTGCCTCTAGGACATATGAGACCACTTTCTAATGCTGTTTTATGGTTAAAGTATTTAGAAGTTCCAGTCATATGTCCCTCTCATAATTTCTGATACCCAAACTACACTGGGCTCTCATGATTAGCTTTTCTCCAGCTGTTAATCAACTACGTAACTGCTTCAGGACCCTCTCTAGTTACCCTCATCCCTTTAAATGTGGGCACCAAAACTGCAGTGCAGGATTCTCACCTGGGTCCCACCACTGTCACAATATGAACTCCCTGTTCATTAACTGCAGTACTGTAAGAAGTTTCCATTTGGTTTCTTGTACAAGAGGTCCTGTAAAGCCTTTTCCACAGCACACTCAAGGGTGCAGTTCCCACAGATAGCACCTGCATGCCTTGGTCCCAAGGTCTGGATCTACTGGTGCTGTCCTGAATCACTCTTGAGTTTTTCATGGGCTGCACAGTCCCAAATACAGTGAGAAATGAAGGAGTTAATGCAACACCCTCTTTCCAGCTATGCTTGTTTTGATACTATTTCAGGACTGAGCTGAGGGGCAAAGCTCTGCTTTGGATTCACACTCGCATGGAGCTGAACCTAAGCTTTGATCAAGCTTTTTTACCAGCACTCAGGTACCACTGCCACATCAGCAGCACATCCACCTTTGCAGTGCCTAATGTAAGGAAGTTCCCACACGTTCTCCTTTGGATGGGATTGTATCAGGTTGCAGACAGAAGGAAATCCAAGCCCTGCTTGTGGAACATCCAGGTGGATGATAGCTGGGCCCTCCAGCCCATGAGCAGTACAGTGAGAGGCTCAGAAGACAACCTGGGAGCACTGCTCCTTGCGTGCAGCGACTCACGGTAAGCTCCGTGAATCACGAAATTCCACTGGCACTGGGGTGGGGCAAAACGATGCTCCAAATGGACATGTCTCAAGTTGCCCTATGGTAGATATACACTGGCCACACACGCTTCTCCAGAACAGTCAGAAAAGCTTGTTGTACTCTTGAATAATTAAGTTGCTTTTGTATTTTGCTGTTCAAATATATTTCTTGGCTCTTATGCATTTTTCTAAGGAGCAGAGTGACCTGTGCACAGATCCCCGTGGTAGCAAACATGCATCCTGACTACTTAAAAACAACATTTCTGCCCCAGAGAGGAAGCTGGAACTCACTCAGGCAATTAGGTTGGGCAATGAGTGGATAGATATTATCCGATATCGTATTTTGTAATCCTCGGCTAAACGGGATGCTGTTCACTTTGGGAGCCAACAGAATAGCTACTCATTCACTGTCAGACATGAGCAAAGTCAAGAGCAATCCCTGAAGGTTTGAGATGAGTTCATCCTAGTATCTGGTAATGGTCCAGAGTCATTTATAAAGGTCACTAAATTCTGCATTCAGGTTGCAGGTTTCTTTAAGCCAATATTTATCTGCACAAATCTCAGGAGAAAAGATAACACTTCTCCTTTCACAAGTGAACTTTACAATGGCCTTTTGATTATCAGCTTATTTGGTTCTATGCCAATTATCTTTTACTCTTTTTCTAATCCTTAATTATTCCTTTTTATAAACAATTTACTCTCAGCATATTCTGCTCAAAGTAAATCTTTTGCTGTGTATATATAGCGCAACAAGATCTTCAACATCCAGGCAAATATTGTCATATACTAGGAATTTAAGCATATGTGTGCATAAAACAAGAAAAATCTGACTCCTGAAAACTGAGCTCTCATACTTCCCTTGAACTTGGTGGGAATCTGTGAGCTCTCAGCAGTTACAGACAAGACTCTGAGGAAGTCTTGGACTTAAGTTCACAATGCTTGAAAGGCAAACACTTCTGAAAGTGCTGCCCTGAATTTTCCATGTCCTGTTTCCCCGGCAAAGCCACGACTTCCCCAAGTCACACATAGAAACACCACTTTCAGATTAAAAGAAACATCTAAAAACGTCTTGAGAACAGCAAGGAGGAGACAATGATTTACTGTCCAGTTTTTGCCTACAAAAATAACATACTGTAAGAGCTTAAGGTATTTCAACAGGCGGTTTCTATTTGTTCTTATCACAGTCAGACATAAAGAGAACAATTTTTGAGCATAGGATATACACAGAAATTACACATTTGACTAGAGTTGCATTTGCAAATAGAAGGTGACAAAAATACAGTTTTGGCTGCACAAATTTTACTGGTTTTCTATAAAAATGATACATGCATATTACAGTTCCATAAACACAAGTGATTTAAAGCAAATAGTGCTTGTAACAGCCACGTTGAAGCCATTTTGTACCTGCAGCCCTTAAAAACAACCAAACACTACTTTTCTGGGCCGCTGCTTAGGAAAACACCATCGAACACTTACAGATGGCAATAAAAAACAACTTTTGAAGCTGGAGTCCTGCGTGGGAATTTTGCCTCAGGAAGCAGGCAAGATGAGGTCTCACTTTGTACACTGGTTGCTAAAGGAATATATATTACAAAAGGAAGCCACATAATAAGGCTATGGTAGATCTGACTTACCACAAGAGCAGCATGTGAAGCAGTTGGTATGATAGAGGTTACCCATTGCTTGGCAAGCCTGGCTCGCTCCATACACACCTTTTCCACACTTTATACAAATACCTACAAAGCAGAAAGAGAATCAAAGTTAGACTCCTGCACAGCTCCTAAAAACAGCTCCAGGCTGTTGATTCACAACACTCATGATATCCCTCATCAGGCCCTAAATCAACGAGCTCCTTACCCTGAACAGATTCAAGTGCCCAAGAGGGCAGCAGGCAGTTGAGTGAAACAAATGCATGGAAATTAACCCAAAATTAAGAGGGGTAAATCTCTATTTTCTCCATGCATTTCAATGCATAGAGACTGAGACTGGCTAAAGACAGAAATCTAGGCGGCAGATGCAACCAAGAAATGATACAAAAATCCGCATACTCTGTTGAAACAACTCCCCTTGCCTAAGGCAGATGCAACCAAGAAAGGATAGAAAAATCCGCACACTCTGTTGAAACAACTCCCCTTGCCTAAGAAATAATTTAGTGAGACCTTCAGAACTAAATGCTCCACCACATTACCTTCAACAATCACTAGTTTGGTCCAAAGCCAAAAGACTTCCCTTTGGCCCTCTCCAGCAATGCAACATCAAGAGCATTGATCCACAGTGAAAGTCATGCAGTACTGGAAAAATGAGTCACATCAGTAAGTGTTTAATTCTCTGTGAACAGAGCATGTAACCTCATAAACACAACCTGGCACCTTACAACACCGAGGAGCAAAGCTGCTACCTTCCTTGTGATCTCAGAGGAAAAATTCTGGCTTACAGTTCTGCTTCAGTGGGCTCAGAATTCACTTTCACTACCCAAGCCTGCTCTTGGTGATGCCATGGATGGCTCCCATGAAGTCTTCAGGAGACCAAAGTACAAGGAGCCAATATAGCACAGGGAAAGTCTGATCAGTTCCACACACAGTGGACTCACAGGGAAGGTTGTGATTTCAGCAAGCTCTACAAAGAGGAGTTTTTGGGGTGGGGTTTGGGGGTTCTGTGTTGTTTTATTTTGATTTAAAGCCATTTCCTCATAGTTACAGTTTTGAGAGTCTTTTGCCTATGCATTTATTTCTATCTACACATAACCTCTATAAATTCAAACCAGAGCAGGGAGATAATTCAAGAATCACTTTTGTTCTGTATCCCCATAAAGAAGCTGTGAAACTCTGGAGAATCCATGTCCTTCTGGCATGTACTTGGGACTACTGACTTGTAAGTTTTTCTGAAATGTCCATTGGTCACTATTTGATGGAGCAGGACAGAGCTGTGTGAGCTTTTTTTAAATAGCACAGTAGAAAATAATACTCAAGATTCTTTGCCTCACACAACTCTAAAGATGCTGCTGTGCTCCCTGTGCTGTTTGAGGCCCTGTCTCTACAAATGCATGCACAAGCTTGGCATTAAACAGTGGCATCAAAATTGCTAATATACCTAAGAGCCTAGGAGCTCCAGAGCTACAAAACTGGGCTTCTCTCACTCAGAATTCTCCCCTGCTGTGCTGTGGATATTTTATACAAACATATGTAAAATATAAATGTAAGCTCTCTGGGGGAAAACTTGTCTATTATGAACAGGTAACCCTCCCATGGGAAGCAGTCCTCCACAAACTTCTTCAGTGTGAGCCCTTCCCACAGGCTGCAGTCCTTCATGAACTGCTCCAGTGTAAGTCCCTCTCACAGGGTGCAGTCAGTCCTTCAGGAACAGGGTGCCCCAGTGTAGATCCCTTCCACGGGGTCAGTCCTTCAGGAACAAGCAGCTTCAGTGTGGGGCCCCCATGGGGTCACAAGTTCTGCCAGAACTATAACTTAAATATTAACAGCTACCAGTATCACAACTTAAACATGTAACACAAACTAGCTGCCAGCTAGATCCATCAGTTCACTGCAATGTGTTAAAAAAATGCCAGGCCCTAGGCCAGCTCAGCTCTGACACAGGAAACAGCAATTTCAGAATATTTGTTGCTTTATCCAAGGCTGATAATTCTGTTTATTTGTAACCAAAGGTTATGAAAAACATCTGCTATTTGCCATAAGTTAATGGTTAACTGATCAAAGATGCTTATTGATTACTGTGGACACTGTGATTGGAAAAGGTGCCTGTGAGCCAGCAGCTGCAGGAATTAGTCCCAGCAGCAGCACAGCATCCACACACCTGCTCTCTGTCCTGTCACACCCTGTGAGCTCTGCAGTAACCCTGGTCCCTGTTGGCCCAGGGCAGGAGGGGCTGCACACACCACAGAGAACATGGGGGCACATCTGAAACAGTCTGTGACTTCAGTGTCAGGCCTTGGTATGACGTGCCAGTTCACTCCTGATGGGGGGGCCAGAAGAAAGCCCTTTCAGACCTCCCCAGCTATTTGCGTGCACACTTCCTGCCCATCTTTTCATGCCAACCATATACATGGAGACTAGCAGCTACTGATAGCCTGTCTGACTGTGAGGTTACACGCATGACCTACCTTTTCCCATTTACGCCTTACATTACTCAAAGAAGAGCAAAAATCCACATTCTGTAATTCTCTGGCATTTCTGTCTATGAGCTCTCATGAACAAATCTACTACAGCTACGAATTGCTTTGATAAATGAGAGTTATTACCTCACTTCTTTGCCATTGCTTCATTGAACCATCAGAACCAAAAGAAGGATTTATTGTGGATGTTAAACTTGCATTGGCCTCTCCAAACAAATGATTCGTTAGGAGCAGCTGTCAGTTTGTTAACTCGTTTTCGCTAAGAGACTAGTCATTAACTCCAGGAATGAATGACCACAGAGATGATTAGCATACTAAAAAAGCCTATGTAAAATTCCAAAAGTGTATTTTGGAAAATATATATGCAGCTGTGGTGTGAGCATAGCATGAGCTCATAACTGCCTAGGAAAAGCCCCGATTACATGATTGTTCAGGTCTGGTTTTCCACCAGTCACAGCCCAGACTGCACACTGCAAGCTTGTGAAAGCCTTGACACAACAGCTACATCACTTTTTCCCCCCCCAGATTTAATTCCAAAGCTTGTTAAACCTCCTATGAAGAATGTTCTGTTACAGAGCAAGCGTGTCTCGTTTCTGACACTTCACTTGACATGACTTCAGATCAACCACTTCAGCCTTTATGATTCCTTGCCCCTCCCAACACCTCTATTCTAAGCAGTCAGCTGTACCTCCAGTTCTTTAACACACCAACTGTGAGGTTTACACCCAAGTCGTCAGCTCTCCTACAGGTCTGGTGTCTCTCTTTAGACAGAAAAAGAGGTTACAAGACGTTGCATATACCCAAAGTTTGCATAAAGGTTGGCTGAGTAGGAGCACAGCATCACAGCATTCCTCAGCTGCAGTGAAGAGGTGTTTGCATCCTCACAGGGTGTTTAACCAAACAGGAGAGCAGAGACTGAATAAACACACTCTGTGGACCACAGCAAAAGACCACCAACAAAAATGATACCAGAAAGAGAAGGAATTCCCAGAAACTCCCTGCTAGAGTTAGCTGCAGCACGTGGCCAGTGCTCTCCACACCAGTCTTCTTCACTGAGCTTGACCATGGCAGTCAGAAGACACAAGCCAGGCAAGCCTCCAGCACTATATGGCAACAGTCACCAGAGGCATGATGCTCTCTGGGTAACTCATGCACTAGCAAAACATTTCTATCAGCACCAGGAGAAAATAAGACAGGCAGTTTCTGATGTAGTCAGTGATTTTGCTCTGGACTTGAGACCAAGTGCCATGCACTGTAACATGCAAAAGTATTAGCAATAATCTAGGGAAGATATTGAGGCTAAACAATTTTCTTCAGTCTGCTTGTATTTGTAAGAGTAACCTGCACTAGACTATGCATTACGAGTTATTCAGTTTGGGACCTGTGCATCAAATCCTGGGATGCTCTTTTGACCATGCCAGTACAGGCCGATACTTCATACAGTCTTCACCAGACACCCAAAATCAGGAAAAAGGCTAAATGCAGTACATACCGGCGCAGATACATAACCACCTTTTGGCCAAGCTTCGTCCTCAGACACACGAGGAATTCAGCCTGTGCCTAATGCCATCCTTATGTAACCTGAAGTCAAAGGTTTAGCACAAATGCAAGAAAAGTGGTACCATATGGCCTCTCAACTTCAGCATGCAGCAGCTGTGTGAGTCAGGGAAGAAGAACGTGGCTGTCTCCCCCCGTGACTGCGTGCCGCGGCTCGGGGATGAGCTGCAGCTTTATTGTCTTCCAGCCACACTGTATCTCCAGGATAACTGCTACATGCTGCCTACAGTAGGAAACAACCAAGCCCTGTCATCAAGAGTTATGGTAAAGCTAAAATTAACAACTAACACATGGCACAGATGACTCCTTCCCTGCCTCTGCAGTTCTGTTCGTGCTGCAGTGTTGGGAAAAGGGTTGGGAAAAGAACATCATAAAAACCCACTGCAAAATCCCCTTTCCTTCTCTCAGACAGGAAAAAAACATCTCTGCACAAATCCCCAGTAAGATTCTCCACACCTGTGGCCTAGCCAAGGCACAAGAGCAGGAAAATGGGAACCTACTGCCATGAAGCAAGAAGAACAAAGGAAGAGGGAAGGCTTAACTCAGCTCAAGAAACCAAACTGCAGGGAGGGGGTCCAGCTACAAGAGCAGGAGGGCTGTGGAGGGGCTGTGTGGGACGCCTGCAGGTGTCACTGGCCATGGGAGGTGTTCCCACACTGCTGCAGCCAGCGATCTCACCTGGACACAGCAACACAGGGTGTTGCTACTGCCTGTAAGAAAACAATCTGCCAAGCAGCCAAGCGAACAGTGAAGCACCAGAGCTGCCCTGAGCCCAGACAGCCACTGTACCTGCCCCAGCTGATGTCAGCTACTGTGCAGATGTCCTGGACGGCGTCAGCTCGGATGAGGTGACTTCAGGAGAGAAAAGTGCTCCTTTCCCTCCAACAACCACAGGAGGAGGGATCTTCTGACACACACGTCATCTCTCAGTCAGATGCCGATAGAAGAAACGAGGCACCTGCACAGGGTGCAGAGGCAGAGCCAGGCAGGAGGTGAGGGAAGCAGCCCAGCAAACCCTCCCAGTCCTCACCACCCTCTTGCTGGAGGGCTTTAATCTGTCACCTGGCAGATACCTTGCAAACATACCAAGGATTGAATATCTAACATAGAACAAAATCTGGTATGTACGAGTTATAAATAAATATATCTTGGACACTCTTGGCAGCAACATCCTGTGATAGGAACGATGCAGGCACTGTTTGTCTGGCTAAGCCACCAGCACTGCCCTCTGCCCCAGGGGAAGATCAGAAGACACCTGAACTTGAATTAAGGTTGAGAATGACAGGCTAAGAAAAGTGGGAAATGCACAAGTAAACATTTTAGGCTCCCCTCCCAAGCCCCAGCCCACCTGGCACCACAACACCCCACATCCAGGAAGGACCTGACCTCATCCAGCAACACAAATCTGGCTTACAAGTATCCATGTGCTCCCTGCAGTGACTGTGCTGGAGGCTGGAGCAGGCTAAACTGGAGGGAGATGAGCCACAATGCCTAACACAAATCACAGCTTCAGCAAAGCAAGACAAGAGGCAGGCTGTGGGCTGGGAAACTTTCTGTTGTCGCTGTTAAACCTTACTGAGATTGCTCCCAACCTTGCTTTCCTCCTCAAGGAATAAACAGTACTACTTAGGTCCTTGAGACAGGTATCTGCTGACTCAAAAATATCTCCATCACTTCAATGCCTGCCTACTTCAGGAGTCTTTACTCAATTAATACACAGGCTTGGGGCAGGACATGTGTAGAGAACTTTACTCAGAGAAATCAGAATTTGGGATTAATGTATGTTCAGTTACAAACGCAGCTAAGTTCACATCCACTGGAAGTTTTGTAGAAGCAAGCTCTAGGTTTTAACTCCAGCTCCTGGAATAACTTTCATTACCTCCACTCTGCCTATTGCTTAACAAGACTGTGGCTTGCGTAGGACAAAGCTGCTGGGAGAGGTCATGGCCACAAAGGAAGGTGGTGGGAGCAGTTCCAGGATCAACAGCACTAATCAGGGTACAGGAGCCAAGCTCTACCTGCCTGAGGAACTGGCACTGCCAGCAGGACTCAGTCCATTCCTACTTGCTTTGAAAGTAGCATAGTCTGTTCTGTTTTGTAGTTCACTTTCCAGAGTTTCAAATGTAGGATGGAGGTGATGAGCAAGTGTTTGGGAACACAGAAGGCTATAGAAACAATTCTCATACACCACCCTCCCCGACTCTGTATTTTAGCAGCTATGAGCCCAGGGCATGTTTGTGCTGGTGAATTCAGCCACAGCAGCTCCAGATCAGCACTGCAGAGTGGGGAGATGCCATGGGAGCCAGTATCAGCTCTGATTAGCAGCTGCTGGAAACTGGAAGGCTTTTGTTAGTGTTAAAGTAGATCCACCCAGTTGCACAGTGAAAGCCTGAAGCTAGCACAGCAAATGCTTATTGCTTCATACAGCATGTGAAATTACTGCTCTGAACCATGAAATTACTGACGCTATCTGCACAGAGTTCATCCTGCCTCGGCCGCAGCCGGAGTGCCTCTGCATAGCTTCCCTTTGTGTGCATCTCCGACTCTGCCGCGGAGCCTCCCGACGGCACAAGGCATAGCACAGCCCCATTGTTCTGCACAGTGTTTTAGTTACACTGACACTTGATTTACAAATATTCATTCATTTCTCTGCTTCTTGATTTAGTGCATGGCAGTTCCAGGATGATTTATACTTCTTACTTAGCATTTATAGAAAGATCTTTTGCTACTGAGGCAGTGAACTGGAAGACTGAGTAGTTCTCGTGGCTGCTGTATCGTCTATGCCACTTTGGGTTGCTTTGTCTGTGATTCAGAACTCAGCTGACTGCTCAAGTTGACAACCACAGCACAAGGGGACTTGGAAATAACTTTAGCAACCAAAGCACTAACAACAACAACAACAACAAAAAAAAAAAAAACCCAAAAAAAAACCCCCAAAAAACCCAAACAAACAAAAAAAAAACCCCAAAAAAATAAAGAAAGGAAAAGACAGAAGAAAATCCTGGTTCTATAAGTACCTTCTGATTGCTGGGATTAGCAAAGCAAGGAGACACATACAGCTGGGGTGGTAAAGAGCACCACTAGGGATGAATGACTTGGAGGAAAAAGTGTGTCTGTAAAGCACCTTCCCTGTCCTACTGCCCCTCCACTGCTGAATTTCGGAATGTCTCACTGTGGACGTGCACCTTCTTACAGCCCAAAGGGACAGGTCACCAAGGCCCTTTGCCTTAAAGCACACTTATTTTGCCTGGAGTACAGTGAGTGTAATTCAGCCTGTTTGAGGAGTGTAAAATTTCTAGCACAGTGGTAGTAGCAATCAGGGGAAGACAGGCTAGAGCCAGCAAAAACTGGAGCTTGTACACCTGCTGGCAGAGGAGGACACACCACCACATCCAGAGTCGCCAGGCAAGCCCAGACACACACCCACAGGTCCCAGAGTCA